ACTGTTACGACACTCACTTCTAGCCATAGGAGGTTGTTGACTGTTGGATCTCCTGTGGGTGACATGGTTCCCGGAATAATTATCGAATTAAAGCTAAATTCATACTCCATTGAGTTATAAAGTATGAGCTTAATGTCATTTCTGACCCGCAGCGCCACGTCGGGTCTGCAGGAGCTGCTCGGGCTTTTAGCTCGGCAGATGTTGAAAGGAAATTTGTTTGACCTAAACAGGGCAGCTGGAGACGGCAGTGGTATCATAGCTGGAAGTGGGGAATCAGGGGCAGCTACATCCATTAGGATCATTTAAGTGGATTGAAAAGTCCTCTCCAGAAAGCTCTTCATGGAGAATAAAGAGGAAAGTAGTTTGCATTGAATTGGAGCTCATCTCTTGTGCTAAGTTCAAAAAGGAGGGATGGATAAAGCAGCTGCGAAGCGTCAGAGCTTTTAGTGACATGTTTCTAAACGGCAGAAAGCGCTCGGAGCTCATCGAGGGCTCAGTGGGACGTCGTCTCTCTGCTCGCTAACTCGTCCTGATTTCTCTGACTGTCAGAGAAGCAGCTGCTCCACCATACAGACGAGCTGAGTGAGTAAAAGAAAAGGGCAGGAGAGCACAACCCTGAGCGAAGAGTGTTGAGCGATGGGGACTTAAGAGTGAGAAAAGAAACAGAAAGATAACTTGTGTGTGCTCTCTGCTAGTGGTTGAAGGAGATTCGTTGTGGCTCACAGGACTATTTGGCCCCATTTGTCAGGAGCAGGCTGGCTTGAACCTTCTAAGACAGACAGCCGCTCACTTGAACCTCCACTCGACTGTGACATTTAGCCGGTACAGCTGTGTACGACTCTGTTTCAGCTGCTGAGGAAAAATGAAAACCAAAGGCTTTGAAACTAAAAAAAAAAAACACATTCATTATTCAAGAGTTCTTTGGTTGAAGCCATGCTTTTCTTTTCCACTCTAAAACTTTATTCAGAGATTTGCTGCTCAGGAGAGAAACGGATAACTAAAGGCAAAATATGTCTCACCCATCACCTTTCAGACGAATATTTTTAACCAAGATCTCATTCATTTCAATAGAGTTTATTTATATGGTGCCAAATCACGACGAGATTCGTCTCAAGGTGCTTCACAAAGTAAACATTCCAATAGAGTTTGGTTCATTAAGGCCATCAGCAAAAGGGTTCCTATGTAAGGAAGTAGGGGCAGGAATAAATATGAAGGCTAAAACGTCCAGACAGATGAAATTAGCCTCCAGTAATTAAATATACTTACTGCTGAGGTGATTTCTTAATAAGTCAGAGAACCAGCTTGGTTTTGTTATGGTTACAAATCCGATGAAGAGCAACAACCTTCTTAGTCTGTTGCTCAAATCCTTCCTGACTTTTTCAGTTGGTTTCATCGTTAAGCCTGTTTGTTCCTGCTCACCATGGAAAAATGGGTCACACGTGTTATTTGTGTGTGTGTTCAGCAAGAGGAGTGTTTTCTTATGTGGATTTAGTGTTTTTGTCTGCAGCAGAATGTCGTCTCCCCGCTTTTAACATGTTGATCATGTTTAATGTGTTTTGTTGCTTGTTTCCTACGGCCTTTTCTTTTTAATCACATATTTAAAATATCAATCTAACCAGATAATAATGGATATGAATGATGAATATTCATAATGAATAAAAGTAGAAATTTCACTTGCGTTAGTGCAGTTTTAACTGGGAAGTTCTACTTTATAATTGTCACTTATCGCCCACCATAATCACCAGATTTGGCTCCCTGTGACCTTCTTAAGTAAAACCAAGTTGAAGGTGAAGGACTTGTGCTGTTACACAGCAGGAGTGAATAATTAATTCATTATTATTCACTTTAATTCAGCTTGCAGAATAAAGGGATGCACGGTTCCTGGCTGTAGGCTTGCCCTCTCATTTTTGAATCTGAGTTAATTTAAAAATGTCCGTTCTGAGCAAGTCTGATGCTACATTTTCTTCATTGATTTTCTGCTGGAATTTTTCCAACCCTCTTAGCTTCAAGCAAAGCCACACTTTAGTCGAACTCTGTTCAAGTATTAACGTTGGCTCTGAAGCTGCTGTAGGATTTGTTTGTTATATTATTTATTTTAGTTTTGTGGCCGGTTCAGGAGGGTTTGGAGGTCCTCCCAACACCTCTAAAGAAAAAAGAAAATGAGCTGAACAGATTTTGTTTTGTGACGCAGAACACAACAAATCTCTTTTGTGAGTTTTTTATCGCGTCAGACCCGTGCCACAACCCGTGCACGCGCATTGGGTCCACAGCGCGCGTGTGAACGGGACTCGCGAGCGAAAATATACATGGCAGCGCGCGCGTGAATGGGACTCGCGAGCGAAAATATACATGGCGAGAGGTCATTTGTGCACTGAGAGGGAGCAAACTGTGTCTGTGAGCGCACAAGGATGTGCACAAGTGACAAACCTGCGTGCGCGCGTTGCCAACGAGCACACGGCAGAGGAAAACGTGCGCGCGCGGCAGCCTCTCTGCGCGCTCGGCAGCCTCTGCGCGCTCGGTTTCTAATTCCGCTCGCTCGGCTGTGAGGGCTTTTGGCACTCTGGAGGCGTGGCCTGTGGCAGATCTTCCCTGTTCTCTGATTGGTTAGTTCACCCCGCACTTTACTCTCTACCTATCTATATAAAAAAAATCTGAGATTCAGCAGTTGCTGTCATAGCTCAGCTGGGAGAGTGGGTGACTCTCACTCTGGAGGATCCAGGTTCGAGTCCGGCCAAGGAACATAGAGTTGATGTCATATTATTCTTTCCTAATTCCTGTGATATTATTTTACAGTTGTGACCGTTCAACTGTCATTAAACGTCCGAATGTTTGCTGGGCAGTGTTTTAAAAAGTGCACATAAGCTAGATGGTTTTAACCAGGTAAAAATAGACTTGTGGGTGTAGGTATGTTCAACTTTAAAAAGTTCTTGCCTCATTAATGTATTGTTTATTTTTTTCAGCATTTAATTGACAAATTATCCTTTCAAATAATTAATTGATGAGTTACATAATTGTCCATTTAGAATTGTTGAATGGACTGAGTCAAGTTTGGTGCACTTTATATATTTCAAAACATGTTTTTTTTATTTTAATTATGCATATAAATAATTTTAATGTTAATTTTTTGAAATATTTCTATTTTTTCATTACCTCACCCTTGTTTTGACAAAAACAAGACCTTGCTGGATAATATCACGGAGAAACTATTTGTTCACAGTACATAGCTCAGTGAGGATCTGTATACCAGAGGAGATACTCAGAAATCTGTCTGCAGATTGTTACAACCCAGACTGGAAGTGGTGGGCTGTAATAAGAAAGGAGACCAAACAGAGGAGTGGGGGGTTCAACAACTGATTTATTTACTTGATTTATTTCACTAACTTGCTTTAGTAAATCCTTACTTTGGTTAAATAAATCAGTTGTTGAACCCCCCACTCCTCTGTTTGGTCTCCTTTCTTATTACAGCCCACCACTTCCAGTCTGGGTTGTAACAATCTGCAGACAGATTTCTGAGTATCTCCTTTGGTATACAGATCCTCACTGAGCCATGTACTGTGAACAAATAGTTTCTCCATGATATTATCCAGCAAGGTCTTGTTTTTGTCAAAACAAGGGTGAGGTAATGAAAAAATAGAAATATTTCAATAAATTAACATTAAAATTATTTATATGCATAATTAAAAAAAACATGTTTTGAAATATATAAAGTGCACCAAACTTGACTCAGTCCATTCAACAATTCTAAATGGACAATTATGTAACTCATCAATTAATTATTTGAAAGGATAATTTGTCAATTAAATGCTGAAAAAAATAAACAATACATTAATGAGGCAAGAACTTTTTAAAGTTGAACATACCTACACCCACAAGTCTATTTTTACCTGGTAAAAACCATCTAGCTTATGTGCACTTTTTAAAACACTGCCCAGCAAACATTCGGACGTTTAATGACAGTTGAACGGTCACAACTGTAAAATAATATCACAGGAATTAGGAAAGAATAATGACATCAACTCTATGTTCCTTGGCCGGACTCAAACCTGGATCCTCCAGAGTGAGAGTCACCCGCTCTCGCAGCTGAGCTATGACAGCAACTGCTGAATCTCAGATTTTTTTTTATATAGATAGGTAGAGAGTAAAGTGCGGGGTAAACTAACCAATCAGAGGACAGGGAAGATCTGCCACAGGCCACGCCTCCAGAGTGCCAAAAGCCCTCACAGCCGAGCGAGCGGAATTAGAAACAGAGCGCGCAGAGAGGCTGCAGCGCGCGCACGTTTTCCTCTGCCGTGTGCTCGTTGGCAACGCGCGTTCGCAGGTTTGTCACTTGTGCACATCCTTGTGCGCTCACAGACACAGTTTGCTCCCTCTCAGTGCACAAATGACCTCTCGCCATGTATATTTTCGCTCGCGAGTCCCGTTCACACGCGCGCTGTGGACCCAATGCGCGTGCACGGGTTGTGGCACGCTTTAAACGCCATAGTTTTTTTCCATGTTGGCTCCAGATGTGATGGATTAATTGTGATGTTTTCGTATTGATACATAGGGGCGACGGTGGCACAGGAGTTAAGTGCTCACCTTGCAATCGGAAGGTTGCAGGTTCGAGCCCCGCTCAGTCTGTCGCTGTTGTTGTGTCCTTGGGCAAGACACTTAACCCACGTTGCCTGCTGGTGGTGGTCGGAGGGACCGGTGGCGCCAGTGCTCGGCAGCCTCGCCTCTGTCAGTGCGCCCCAGGGCAGCTGTGGCTACATTGTAGCTCATTCCCACCAGTGTATGAATGTGTGTGTGAATGGGTGAATGACTGATTGTGTTGTAAAGCGCCTTGGGGGGTTCCAGGACTCTAGAAGGCGTTATATCAAATACAGACCATTTACCATAGTATTAGATTACACACAAACTTCTTTCCCCTGCAACTCCTCCTGAGGTTTCTGTTCCAGTTCTGCTCAGCAGCCGTATCTCTTGAGTAAATGCTGACGAGAGTTTTCCACGTTGTCTTGCAGCCCCATGAGCGAAGAGGTGCAGGAGAAGACGTACTCGTACGTGGACCAACTGCCGGTGTCTGAGATCATCCATCAGGTGAGAACAAACACCAGGATGAGGTTTACCTTTCATCTCCGCCATCTCCAGTGTTTATTCTGGAACTCTGTCCGCTGGAGCGCCAAAGCACCGTTCCTGAGTTTGGACGCGGAACAGGAAAGTTAGGTGCAACATCTACCGACAGATGTCTTTGTGCCGTTTCCATGGAAACGGCTAGAAGTGTGAAATGTGACAGCCTCACTTGGTGTGTGTGTGTGTGTGTGTGTGTGTGTGTGTGTGTGCGTGTGTGTAAGGGCCACCATGAAATCCAGCAGAATGGGAAGGCAGGATTGTCGTGAGGAATTGTGCATTCACCTCATTCCCAAATGGATTGTTGCTTTCAGTCGGGTCGACCTTCACAAATGAGCACCTCTTCCTCCTCAATCCATCTTTTGAACGTGCACGCTGCATTCAAAATAGCCGGTCTTTGGACTCGTATCACCCTTGTAAGATTTTCCATCATGAGCCCATTAAAAACACAATTTCTGTTCCCCCACTTCAAAAACGTGAAGAAGCAGCTTTAACCTTTACCACAGGCGAGTCAGTAACTCACATTGGTGCTGCTTAGATCTGGAGTCTTGAAGCAGCCAGTGTCTTAAGCACAGGCTTTTATTAGCATGCACAGTGTGTTGTTGGGTGGATAAATTAGCCAGATTATGCTAATCCACTAGCAGGATGCATTAAATTAAAACAAGAATCAACAAGTTCTCCCGTTTTAATTTCTTAGATGGAATCATGTGATGTGTGACAGTTTTTGTGCTCTTTCGTGTGTTTTGATGTTTAATCCAGTGGGTAACATGATTTTATCACAGAAATGCACTTCCAGCCTCCCAGGGATTATGACCTAAATATTAAAATTCAGGCCGACTTCTTCATTATGCTTTAGTTGCGGTTTCTGCTGACCAACCTAAATGCGACGGTTGTTTTTCCTCACGTTAAATACATAAACACACAGCAGCTGATCTCTGTGGATGCATTAGTGCCAAGTGTCAAATCTGGCTTTTTGATATTTAAAGCCCGAGTGCCGCCGGTGAATCCGGCCACTGGCCTGAGCCCCGTCAGCAGCTTACTGTCACCATGCAGGGAAACAGGAGGGGTCTCGGTGCCCAGCGGCATTCTGGGATGTTGGCCTCAAAGAGTTTTCTAGCATATTAAAAAGTTAACTGTCACACACACAAAAACCTGTGAACACACCCCATTAAGTCCCTTCCATCTGCTGCATGGATTCAAATCTTGGCTCTCTCCCTTCCTCATCTCCTCCTTTGGTTTGTCTTTTTTTCAGTTCTCTCCTCATTTTCTTTACATTCACTTTCTTTTGCATCTGTGCTCACAACTCCCAAACACACGCTGTGACTCACGGCAGAGACTTTGATTATTGGCTAGCGCTCCAGCTGGGTGGGAGATGCAGGGGTCCTGACAGACCTCTCTCCTCTTTGCTGTTGTTCATCTGCACTGCAGTAGAGTGACCCGAGTGCACCGAACCCACCATCTCACATCCTTTTTTATTTTTGACTAGCTTTCATGCAACTGAATCTGATATTTCTGTTTTTAAGCTCATCAGATTTTCTCACCTGAGCAGTTAAATTAGATCAGATGACGGACGCTTTCTGCTCTTTTAATTTGAGAGGAAAATGTTCCATAGCTGCGGTCTAATCATTTGCGAGCAGCTCACCTGAAGGGCTTCAGGTAAAACAAGTCATCAGATTGATTGGCTTGTGTCATGTCATTGAAGGTATCCTCACCATCACTGTCGAGCTTCATCTCGTCCTGTTGCCAGCACCTAATCACATCATGTTCAGCCCTGGAAATGACTCAAACTGGCTCTTATTTTTTATTTTCCTCCTTTGTGCGTTGGACTTATTTTCTCCCTCTCATTGCTGAGAGCTTTGGTCTCTGGCGTCAAATTGTTATTTGTTCTTTTGCCAGCTTGACGCCACCCCATATGGCTCTGGAGAATTGAAAATGGAAACAGTGAAAATGAATACCTCACGTCTCTCCCTTTCCTCGTAAAATCCTCCTGTCTCCAATCTGGCTGCAACGGTGACTCTCTTCAGAAAAGCTGGGATTATTCTGATCAGACGCTGACTACCGTCTCTATTTGTTTAATCAAAAACCAACAGGAACTTTCTTTGATGCTCAGAAATTTGTATTAATATCAGCTGGAAAAGCAAAACATGTTTCATAAAAGAATAAAACACCCTCTTCTTTGACTGTCTCAGCAGTTGCTGGGGGCGTAAATAACAAGGTAATACAGTGAAGTGTCCCGGCGGTGCAGAGCGGCAGCTGTTCCTTTATTCAGATCTGCACAACATCAAATTCGCTGTCGTTTCTGTCCTTGGAGTGTGAGAATTTGGCAAGATGTTTCAAGCTTCCCTCAATGACTATTAGCGTCATGGATAGTTGTGCTAATTAGCTCAGATCAGTCAGATGAGGGACTGGTAATTGATTTAATTGGTAAATGAAATGCACAGCACGGTGTGTTTGTGGTGCAGACTCGTAGCGTGAGGGTGTTTCTGTCCTTGTCTGTGAAATGCTCCATCACTGAAGGTCAGTGAACAATCCTGACTTGGCGTAGTTACTTCCTCCTACCTTTAAAGGGAAAATATGCAGCTTTTTTATGCCCTTTACCCTTTACATGGTTAATGAACGTCTGTAGTGATCCCATCCCATTTCATCATTGATGATGCACTCGCCCTAAGACCCACATAAGTTCTTCTTACCTTGAAAACGCTCAGTCATTGATGCTTTCTATCCGAGGTCCTTATATCCTCACACACCATTAAATCCTCACAGCGCCACATGGACTCCGGCTGCCGTTGAAGAGCGCTGCCAGCCGGGGTTCCCGGCTGCGGTCCTGTCTGCTAGCTGCTCGTAGCTTGTAGAGTAACTTGCCCGTTATCACCCAATACCCTGAATCCACTTTTGGGCTTGCTGACACACCACAGCTTTTCCCTGTGATCACATAATTCCTCCTCTCGGGATCATTATTTACCAGGAGCTCTGTTAGGCAGTGGTAAAGTGGCTAGCCACCATCTGCTTCCAGCACACGATTCCTACATATTTTAGATAGTGAACTCGGCTGATTTGTTTGATTTAGTGATGAATCGCTTGTGTACAAAGGCTGAGGAGACATTTCAGCTGTTAGATTAAGGTGTTAAAAACAAGAACGCACAGCCAGGAGATACGCTTCATTTTTAGGTCAAACGGACTCTAGGGGGTGCTAAAAGTATTTTTAATATTTAAAAAAATGCTTGGATTTCTTTCTGATTTTAGATGCAGAAGGTTCCTGCTTGTTTTTAATTTATAAAGCAATTTTTTTAAATTGGTCACCAAGGCTGAATTCCATAAATGGAAAAATAATTTTTTTTTTTAAAGAAAATGAGTTTCTTGAAAACTGAATTCCTGAGTATTTAAGTATTGGTATAATTTGTTACTGAATACTACTATTATAGATTCTACTGTACTGAGCCTACTATATACGTTTATGGATAGTCATGTTAATGAAATTTTTTTTATATATATTTTTTTTATTCTAATGGAAGTGCCCAATTTCTTCTGACTTCTGCATTTTCTCCTTCTCTCCTGACATGTTTCACTTCCTGCTGTCTGTGCTGATGTGGCAGCCTGTCACCCTCCATCCATCTCATCTTGCCCCTTTTCCTACATTGTCGTGTGTGTGTGTGTGTGTGTGTGTGTATGTGTGTAAAATAAATTCCCATGTGTGTGCGTGTGCGTGCGTGCGTGTGTGTGCGTGTGTGTGTGCGTGTGTGTGTGTGTGAAATAAATTCCCATCTGATCTGACCCTCTGTGGGTGGTCTCATCCTGCCAAGCTCGGGTCCTCTACCAGAGGTCTGGGAGCTTGAGGGTTCTGCAGGATCTCAGCTGTTCCTAGAACTGCATTTTTCTGGACTGAGATGTTTGATGTTTTTCCTGGGATCTGCTGTAACCACTCCTCCAGTTTGGGGGTTACTGGTCCGAGTGCCCCGATGACTTTCTCAAGTTCTTCTTTGAGGCCCTGGTACTTCTCTAGTTTCTTATGTTCCTTTTTCCTGATGTTGCCTCACTTGGTATTGCCTCATCAAACACGACTGTCCTCTGTTGTTTGTCCACCACCACAATGTCCCGGTAGTTTGCCATCACCATTTTGTCGGTGTGGATCTGGAAGTCCCACAGAAGCTTGGCTCTCTTGTTCTCAACCACCTTAGGGGGTGTTACCCACTTTTTATTTAAAATTTTTTTTTAAGTTTATTTTCATTTATTCACAAATAAAAACAAAACACAAAACAGGTTTGCAAAAACAAAAAATGAAAAAGGAACAGAAAGAAGCACAACTTATGTTATCTGTTCCTGTTAACCAAAATGAATACAAATGGCAACAAAGTTATTATAGTTAAAAAATGTCTGACCTGGTTTACTATTTTAACTATGGCAAGAAATGGAGAGAAAACAAATATGCACACAAAATTTTTTTTTCTTCTTATATTAATGAAAGGAGAAAACAATCAATGCAAAACAAAACACACCAAAAAATAATAGCTAAAAAGAAACAAAGTAGAACATACAATGTGTGTTTTCCCCTTCATTCTCTCTACTTCATAAACATGTCCATCTCATAGCATCATATAAGCTAAACGTTTCATTTTTTATATGTTTATTAAAGGTATATATTGTTTTGGTATTCTTGATTTCGGTACTTCATTTATTCCACATTTTGACTTCATATATTGATACACAACCTTCCTTTATATTTATCCTATGTTTTGGTATTGTGTATATTTTATTGCCTTTCAAACTTTGACCTTGGGGCTTCCAATAATTCTGCACTGATATTTCTGTACACTATGCCAGCCACTTGGTTGTGGCATTTCATTTATCCATCCGTGGGACATCCCAATATGGTATTTCCAGCGTCTCCTCCTCTGTTCGCCATTGTCTGAGGCATTCACTGAACACATCATCTGTTGGGGCCTTGTCCTTGATGTACTTATGGATCTTAGATGTTTCATCCTGGACAGTGGCTCTCACACTCACTAGTCCTCAGCCTCCTTCCTTAAAGCTAGCGTACGGTCTCATGGTGCTAGATTTGGGATGGAACCCTCCGTGCATGGTTAGGAACTTCTGTGTCTTTAACATCTGTGGTGTGTTTTTCTTCCTTTGACCAGCTTGTTGTTCCAGCTGGATATCTGATTACTGGCAGGGCGTAGCTGTCAATTGCCCAGATGTTGTTCTTGCCATTGAGCTGACGTCTTAGGACTTGCCTCATTCCTTGTAGGTATTTGGCTGTGGCTTCTTTCCTTTGCGGCTTCATCAAGGTTGCCATTTGCTTGTCTGCTGTTGTTCCTTCTGGGAGTGAAGCCCCCTTCACTTTCTTTTTCGCCATTCGACCACACTTCTCAAGTCTGATTGACATTCCGATATCAGTGCTGTAGATCCTGGTGGTGTAGATCAGTGAGTCGGTCTCTCTCGCTCTTGACGTACAGCTTTATGTCATCCATGTGGAGGAGGTGGCAGATTGTGGTTCCATTCTTGAGTTGGTATCTATAGCCTGTCTTATTGAGTATTTGGCCAAGGGGGTTCAAGCCTATGCAGAACAGCAGTGGGGACAGGGTGTCTCCTTGGTATATGCCACATTTGATGAGGACTCAAAGGTGGTTTTCCACAGCCCCATAGTTTGCAATGAAGGCTCTCAGAGTCCTGTTGGTGTGTGTGTGTGTGTGTGTGTGTGTGTATATGTTTGTGTTAATATGTATGTGTATGTATGTATATATATATATATGTGTGTGTGTATGTATGTATGTATATATATATATATATATATATATATATATATATATATATATATATATATAAATATGGGGTTGTAAGTAATCCAGAAAAGTTGGAACACCTGTGGGAATTAGTAGCACCAGCTTTCAAGGCTTGATCAACCTCCATTGCTGCAGAGCAGCTGTGTTCCCTGAAAACGGTCATTTTGTATAATTCTGAAATATACATTATGTTTCAGTTTTGAGTAACCTTACCTTTTTTAACCTCTGGCAGTTCACCACTTAACTTTGTACCATTTCAAGCTATTCATTGGACTTGAATGACTTAAAGGAGACATAACATGCTTTTAAGTTATTCCTTTTTACATCTAAATCCTTCAGTTGGGGTCTAAATACAGTGGAACTGCAGTTCTTTGGTCTGATTTCCTCATTATTGTTGCTTTACAGACCCTCATCTACCCCTGTTCTGAGGAGAGTCTTGAGAACGAGCCGTTTTTGGGTACTGTCTCTTTAAACTGGAGGAGGAGCTGTAAACTCCGCCCCCCCTCCATAGTGCAGACCTGTACTCTCCTCCCCCAGTCGGACTTTGTAGTTCTATAGAGAAATCATTATTTAGCATAGCAGATTTAGCATAGCATATTAGCATTTTTAAAACATGTGGGGAGAGTAGTTCATCAAGCTGTTTCATGGCTGCTAACTCTCTCATGCATTTGTCTGTAGTCACTCACACACACCCGTCACGGCCGACGGAGGGACAAGCGAGCAGGCACACACACACACACACACACACACACACACACACACACACACACACACACACACACACACACACACACACACACACACACACATCCGTCACGGCCGACGGAAGGACAAGCGAGCAGGCACGTGCGCGCGCGCACACACACACACCTGTCACGGCCGACGGAAGGACAAGCGAGCAGGCGCGCGCGTGCGCACACACACACACAAGGAATGCTGCTTGCTTATTTCTATAAAAATTTTTTTAAAAAATGATACAGCTCATTAAAACACCATTAAAAGAATATATTTTATTAAGATCTCTATCTATATATATATATATATACATACATATAATTTTATAAGTAGTCTTATTTTATATTGGGTGTCTTAATGGCTGAAAATGGATAAAAAGCAGTTACATTTTAATTTAAAGATTTGAGATTCTAGTCAAAAATAAAGAACATTCCTCCAAATGTTCTTTAATGTGATTATAATTCTAATGCTTACAACTTTGTTTTTATTGTCTGCAATGCGTAGCCTATATCTTTATTAAATGTGTTTAGCTGTAAAGTGGTAATTCTCTAATGTGTACAGAGAGGTGGACATCAGTGCTGCAGTGAAATTCCCAAGATCAGTCTGCTTTGCTAACAAATATAGTTAAATCTTACCTGCATTCTAAATAAATACCGTTAGGTGGAAACATCAGGAGGCATTGAGTTATTGATAAAATCCCTAACAGCCAGAATGGAAGAAGAGCATGCTGGGTCATCCTGGATCTGAGCCTGTTCTGTGTATTTACCTACAGGATGCAATAAATGTCTACAAGGCTGAGTTTGGACCATTACATCTAAAAGAAAACATACAATCAGTGATTTTTTTTATTGTTTACATTAATATACAAATTTTCTAAGTATTAACCTCACAGCAAATAAGTAGAACAATATAATAAACAGGTTTTAGTAGTTAAACAGGCGTTGTGCACACAGGTGCTTTGTGTCTCGGTGCTGGTGGTGTCTAGGTCTCAGAGTTCCTGTCCTCCTGCCGTCTTCTGTTGTCCTCAGGATACGGATTGATGTTTCCTGATGATGAGGGAGGGGCAGTATGTGGGCTTCAAACTGGTCCTGGATAACAGTGGGAGACCTCCGTTGTCTGAATACTGAGACCAGAGGGTTGGTGAGATGCAGATCTTCTCTACCTCATCTAGAAACGGAGTTGGTTCAGGGAAAACTTTTCCAAAGACCAGTTCCATGATGTCATCGCCATTTTCTGCAATGATAGGCAGTAACTTTAATGACATATTTTTTTTACAAGCAGCTTTAGGAAAGTTGTTTCTTTAGCTTTCATGTTTATAGTCACGTTTGTGTTTGTTCACAAGTTCACTTTGCTGCAGTGACTTCATATTCTTACAAATGTAATAAAATAGTGACACTAAAATTATACAAATGATTCCTTATGAAAGGAAGCTCATTAGAGAGCAGTGCAGACAGACTTACTACATGCTGCAGCTGTTTTTACAGGCCAGCTGCTGCTGAATTTGGGGAAAGTTATTCTGCACACATCCAGATCAGATGGTCGATTACAGAAAATAATGTAATTCAATAATTTCTAAACAGACTAAACAAGTAAAACATCAAATAAATCACTCTGCTGTCATCAGACGGAGTGATTCAGGGGGTGAGGTGTTCTTAATGATGAGGGTGGCTGAGGTGTTTCATCACTCACTTTGGCCTGGTCCAGACCGTCTCTTTACTGGTGGGTCTCCTTCCTCAGTAGGTGACGTGAAACGCCAACATCTGAACGTTCTGTGTTCCTTAGAGGAGAAGAAAAGTAACATTAGCAAGCTGGCTAAATTATTTTTTACTAGCATCTCAAGGCCTTGGAGAAGCAGATCTTCACGTACCTAAACATCAGACCAGTTTGTCCCAGCTGAGCTCATCAGGGCGTTAGTCTGACTGCCTGTCAGTGAAACACGGCTCCAGTCTTCTGGATGTTGACTCTAAAAAGCAAAGGAACATTTTTACTTTTGTTTTAATTATTTTACAGCCGATTTTATCAGCTTTCCGACGCTCACGCTCATACAGACGGTGAGCTTTGCTGCATCTGACTGATGCAGAGTTAGTTTTTATATCTGCAGTGAGACAAAAAACTAACCTCACTCCACTCCAGAGATCGTTCTTTAAAACTCTATTAAATCCACTGTGTTGACGCACTTTAATGACTTTGTCACGCTGCATTTTAGCTGATATGGGACTTTATGTACTGGATGCTAAGATTACATCACACTCACGTAGAGTAACACACAGGCTCTCTGCTGTTACAATCAGTGGGAGGTTATCATCTGGTGTAAAAGAAGGCGTTGATCAGAAATCACGTTTTATTCCACGGAAATCAGCCAAATCCACATTAATCTGGGTGCTAACTTTACTAGCATACTGTGCTAGCGATAGCAAGCCGGATGCTAACGCTTTAGTGCTGCTAATGCCCGTAAATCTGAAGTAAAGTTTGTCGACATTTTATAGTGATATGAAGCTTACCGCTCTGCTGCTATGTCCCGGTGCTGCCACATTCAGATGGAAATGACTCCTTTTAGATAGATGAAGCCCTCAGTACTTAGCCACTAGCCTGGAGACAGAACGAACGAACCACGCACGCGCGCACGCACGCCCGCCCGCCCGCCCGCACGCACACACAAACAAACACAAACACACTACTTTTTCTTCTGTGTTTTTTTTAGCAGTAGTGTCATCAGCTCCTGGGTTTAAATACTGCCACACCACCCTTCCTTAAAACGAGGAACAGTTTTGAGCTGTGTGTGGCTAAAATAACCAGACATTCTGCATTTTTCCAATAGGACTACAAAAAATCTTAGCAAGACGAAAAAATGGCAGATTGGCTCTGTGTTTAGCCGAGGGCCATTACCATATTTGGTAGTTATCCTGACGAAATAAATTACTGATGTAATAGATAATGTGAAAAACTGAACGGGTGGACAAATATGCCCAAAACTTAATTATTAAATATCTAAATAGCAACTCCAGTGAATAATATAAGCCTTTTTGCTCACTTAGACACTTAAAATGTGAAACACACTGTGTTAATGGATAAAAAAGTGGGTTTTTCATGTTATGTCTCCTTTAAACTGCAATAAATAACGCGTTCTAAAACTTTTGACTGGTAGTCTGTATATATTAGGGCTGGGACTTGATTAAAAATTTTAATCTAATTAATTACAGGCTTTGTAATTAATTAATCTAAATTAATCGCGTTTTAATCGTTCAGGAAAATGTGCTCTCAGAGTAAAACTTTTAATTGAAATTATGAGACAGAGAATCAAACATTAGACATGATTATTACTGTAAACTAAAGCTTTTAATAAAAAATGCTTTTTAATTATTCAAATGTCACTGTGTGATATGAAACAAAACCCAAATCAACTAAAATTTATAATTACAATTAGAAAACACCTGCAAAGGGTTCCTGAGCCTTTAAATAGTCTCTCTGTCTAGTTGAATTACTGAAATAAATTTGACTTTGCACCAGATTCTAATTTTTCCAGTTTCACTTGTTAGTATAATTTTTTATTAGCATTTCTACTCATAATGTAGTGAAAACACATATAAATAATAATCCTTCAAAATGACAGTAGAACAGGCACAAATATGATCTAGGACTTAAATGTACTAACTTTTAAAACCAGAGCAGGCATGGCATATTCTGAGAATGATCAGGAACACTAACTGGTTCCAGTTGAATGACTGGAGGATGATGGGATGATAAAAGATCATGGCGAGGAAATAATGATCTGACGAACAGGTGAGCGGACCTTCCTTACATGGGAAGTCCTGCTGTCATGTTAAGAAGGGGATGCTGCAGACCCGCAGATTCACACCTGCAGCAGCGAATCTGGTGTGATCTCCAGTCTGACGTTTAGACAGTGACTCGTCTCAGAAACATATAATTCCTCGACAGAATTGTTTAGAAAATCATCAGAAAAGTTTCAGAGTGTTTCTGTTTTAACTTAAACTTCTGTTTTCAGCTGTAAGACATGTTGTCTGTGATTGCTTACAGAGTAGTGAGAACACGGAGCGTTCTCCCAGCAGCAGCCAGGTGCCTCTCGTTTGTCTGACCACTTTCATAAACTACTGTTAGGGCACAGAATTATTCTGTCTGGTGCTTTCAGCACTGCACAGATGTTACGTAAATGTTAATATAGCTTACAGCAACTTTTGTAAAGTTTCCGGCGCCACCGGGCAGCCGCAGCAGAGACGATCTCTGAAAAATGTCTGCGACACGGACTACGTTGTTGTCTGGAAGTTTCTTTTTCCAAGTTCAGAAAAGAGGCGGTCGTGTTTCCTAAATCCTGTATCAGTCCAAGTAAGGCAACTTCTTTCTGTTTTTATTCCATTTTAGCCATTAGCACTGTGCATTGTTGTGTGCGTCAGTGATATTCAGTCTACGAGGAAATCGTGCAATGACAAAGGTTCCGCCGTGCTTGAAATGCAAGCTGCGATTAAATGCGTTAATTTTTTTAACGAGTTATTTTTTTCTAATTAATTAATCGTAATTAATGCTTTAAAGTCCCAGCCCTAGTATATATATATATATATATATATATATATATATATATATATATATATATATATATAGTGTGTGTGTGTGTGTGTGTGTTTGCTCTCTAGATATTTATAGATTTGTAGCCATGCACACCTCTGTTTGTCAGAGGTCATCTGTCCCTGATGGCCACATGCTTGCAGACACGTCTCTGTTACGTAACCCTCCTGCTTTTGTCTCAGCCTCCCTGCTGACCACTCTTGTCACTTCAACTGCAGGTGAAAGTGCCCAAACTCAAGCTGTTATGTTAGCATCCTGCAGTGAAAAGATGGCAGGAGTGGATTAAACGAAGTTCTCTTACTATATTTATGCTGTTTGAAGTTGGTGACTGTGCAGGGCTATGTCAACTGGCTGCATTCAGGTAATTTTGCCAGAAACTTGGGTGGGAATTGAACAGTGTCGTCACTGAAGGGTCATAATAAAAGTTTGAAGCATTTTCTCCTTTTATTGCCAACAGTAAAGTACTGCCATCAGTTCTTTATAATGTTGAAGCTCATGTTCATTTTAGAGTAGAGGTTTAATCATAAACACTTTAAAGCTAAAACCGTTAGCTGTGAAGGGAGAAGGATTAACAGGAGTAGAAGCTCTTGCTGGCTTTCAGGCGCTAAACTGAGTCGAGGTTTTACACACGTTTTACAATGTTTTTACATTTTGGCAAAAGGGATTTGAAACCTGCATGAAATTCAATAAAAGCACAGAATGATTATTTTACAGTCTGAGCAGAGAAACGGCAGGAAACCAGAGGAATTGTTTAAACATTGAAACAATAATGATCAAGAATCTGAGCTGTGTGAGGAAACGGTCTAACAGAGGATCAACCCTCAGAAGAATGTGTTCAGTGTTGGTTTAAACAGTCAAATGTTCAATAGTTTATTCAAATGAAAGTACACAGAGCTGGTGCCTAACCTAAAAGTGGTTTAGGTATAAGAGGAAAAGCAATGCACTTGTAGCACTCCCTTCAATTAAATAATGCAAAGTATATATTAAATGTTGGGTGAACTCTGAACCAGTACCATAGCGTTCTAGATATGACTACGGAGCCTTAAAAGGATCAGCAGAGAAGAACCACTCCATTATAGTTAGAATTTAAATTATATTGATAATAATTAAGTTTACAACCCAGCCCGGCTTCCTGCATTGCTCAAATGCACGTTAAAGAGGCCCAAAATAATAAAAAAATTAGAAACAAATATCCCTTTTTAATGGAAGTCATCCAAAGAGCTCCAGCTGATCAGTCCACTTGATGGGAGAAATTATATTCCTGTGTGTGTGTGCGTGCGTGCGTACGAGAGAGCGAGAGAGATCGATGATCACTGTCTTCTGGTCCATCTGCGGTCGCACTTGTTCGTGTTGGCTCGCCACTGAACACACAAGGTTCAGATCTTCAACGATCCGATCCTGAGGTCTTGGTGAGACGGCTCGCTACACTGACACATCTTCTCTTGGATAAAATTCACACCAAGTTCAGATCTGAGATGTTCAGTTAGTCCGGCGGTTGTCCTGGGCAATGGCTGCCTGGACAGAACCGGAACAGCGATGACATAAATAAAATAGTCATTCCCAAGATGTGAGTGCCACCTACTGGCGGGGAGGAGATTTGTACCTCCAACCCCTAAATCCAGCATGTGGGTTACTCATGGACATGAAGAACTGGAGGGTTCTTGCACACTAGAACCATGATGATCTGATTTAAAAAATGCCATGAGAATCGTTCTACAATACGGGACAACCTTCGGTGAAAGCTGAAGTCAGAGTGAGTGGTTCTGTTTGCCAAAGCTGAGTGGCCTTCTCGGAGATCCCAAAGGGTCACTCACTGGGTGACTTTGTAAGGCATTCCTTTGGCTTGACTCCATCTTATCTCCGTATATGTCTTCACAGAACCATCAGCCATCATGCCTTACATTGTAGTAACACCTGCAGGCTCCTCGGGTTCAGGCTTTCAGTCTTTCTGCTCCCTCTGCATGGACTAATCTCCAACCTGACCTGAAAATATCTGAACTTGTCTCACTGAAAACGTTTCATCAGTTTTTTATATAATGGGTAAAAAAAGCATTTAGTGTTTCCAATTTTCATTGTTAAACCATATTTACTGCACATTACTATTTAAACTGTTTATAGCCATTGGACTTCAAATGTCTGTTTATGGCAATTATTTGTTTTATTTAGATTTGTGTTGCTCCCCTCTTGGCCAGGTCTCTTGCAAAAGTGATTGTAGTCTTGGTGAGATTGTACCTGGACAAATAAAGGTTGAATAAATAAAATAAATCGTTAAGTAGGTAACAGAGTTTATGGAAGAGATCCAGATAAAGATGGAGATGTGCTGCTCCTACTGGATTAACTGTTTAGATGAAGTTAGATCAGGGACCTGGCAAAGTCTGTCACAACTCTGTATTCACATAATACTCCATTACTTTTAGTCATGAACAAGGCTCTCAGGACCTTTTTGTTCCGAGATATTTTTGGACTAAACGCCCACTTTAATGTCTGAAGTCAAACAGACGAGACTAAATTTGTTCTCTCGCCGGAGACGTTTCCTGTAGTTTCTGTCAATCTCTCACAAAAGCACCATTGATTTAGAGGCTAAAAGCTTCTCTTCATAGTCTGAGCATCATTATTTCAGCAGTTTGCCAAAGTCGGTTTCTGTTGATTTCTTCTATGAGCTTCTGGTTTCTGTCTATGATGGGCTGACAACAAATGGTCCGACTCTTTTAAACTTCACAACACGGTCCAAACTCATCAAAGAGAAGAGATTTTAGCTGTACTTATTGAATTTGGTGAATTTTAACTTCCGCCAGAGGCTGAAATATGTCATGAAACCTATCTTCAAGTGCTCCTTGTGACATGATGAGCTTAAAGGAGTCAGAGTTCAAAACCTCATTTACCTTAGTGAATTTAGGCAGCTTAGACCAGCTCAGTGGCCTAGTGGTATGAGTGTCCACCCTGAGACTGGAAGATCGTGAGTTCAAATCCATAGTCAAATCATATATAAGACCCTATGCCTCCCCGCTTGACACTCAGTATTAAGGAATTTGG